TAATGATACACATGAGCCTAAAATATCACAAATGTTTCTGTTTCAAAACCAAATGTTTGAAGTTTTGCAGTTGCAAATTGAAGCAACTAAATTTTTGCCCCTTTTATTTTTTCTCTTTAAGCTTTTAAAAGTTTTCAAATTAAATTTAAAACAGAAACATGATGAAGGTGTGTGATGAGCAAACCTTCCACTCATCAATTTCAGACAAGCTGCAGTTAATGCTTTAACTAAATAACACATAATACAGAAAATAAACGTAAAAAGTTACACACATACAAATGTTTTAACTTGTTCTTGATGATAAAATAATAATAATAAACATTCATTTCATATGCAATAAACTTAAAATGTGTGGACTGTTTCGAAGCTAAATATTTTTTAAATGATGGTTGAAAACTAATAAATTCAAATTTAATCTTTTCTGSTTTTTACACCATTTAAAGGTTTTGATGTTTTTCCTCTTTTTGTGCGCCATTTTTAAAGAAATTGAATCTGCAGGATCGATTTTGGCGGCCACGCAAAGAAGAAAGTCTACTAAAAGTTCAACCACAGATTAAATAAATAATCCCAATAACCTCTGCGTTGCTCAGATTATTCCTCCACTGGTTGTTTTCCACGCAGCGTGGATCTTAAATCTGATACCCTCTGCATCTTTGCACTCAGACGGATTTTAAAAGTCTGCCCTCATGTGGATAGAGGGAGAATGAGGGAGGAAGGCTCCTCACAGCGGGTGCTGCAGTTTCACCTCAGACAATGACAAACCCTGCTGAACCACTAATGAAAGCCTCACTGCTCTTGTGGCCTTGTGGGGGAAATAAATGCACTGAATTAAAAACATAACTTCACCACGAACCCCTTTCCCATCTCCTCATGTTTGAACCAAAGTCTTTTAAAATCACCGAATTTCATTGCTGCACAAAGTGAAACCACTGCTGCGCGTGAATCACTCTGGATACAAGCGCGCTGCATTCAAATGCTGCAGCACTGAAACTTATGAGGTAAAATGACGAAGAAATGTCAAAAAATTTTAAATCCACTATCCTAAAAATTGTGAGAACTTCTTCCATTGTTTCCTTCTCAAACGATGTCTAAAGAGGCCAGAATGGACATGATGCGTAAAAGTGTTCGGATGCGTCAAAGGATCAGTTTTTGCCTGAAGTTAGACTTTAAAACAGGAAGGATCGGTCCTCATGTGATCTGGGGGGTGCTGGTACAACCATAATCCAACAGCCCCCTATTTAGACATTTACAGCTACTTTTATTGTGCTGTCTAGACGGTTCAAGGTTTAGCAAACAATCCAGTTTTTCAAAGAGAAGGAAACAACGGATCCATACAAGCTCCTGAGCGCCAAATTTCTCCACTAATCAATGATTTGTGATTTATTTTAATTCACATTTCGTTTTTTTTAACAGAACTTAATTATTAGCTATAATAYATTTGTTTTGTCTGTTATTTCACACTACAACATACAGAACATGCCTTTTACAAATGAACAAGGAATATATTTTATATATAATTGAAATGTACAGGTGGAAATAAGTTGGAAATATTTTTTTCCATTGAAGCAGAAAGAAAAGAATAAAAATGTTTGAGTACTTTAAAAAATGCAATACATGTTTTAAAAAAATAAACATCCGTTTTTTTAATTCGGTAATATGGAAGCAGTTTTTAAAATCACTTATGTGAGGATTGTTTCCTTTTGTCCGTGTTTAGTGATGTTTGTGTGTGTGTGTGTGTGTGGGGGGGGGGGGGGAGTCTGAGCTCAGAATAAAGGATTCCCTGTGAAATACTGGAGGCGGTCGCGGTTGAGTTTTTTCTCCTTCATCCTTCTGTTCTGGAACCAGATCTTGACTTGGCGGTCCGTCAGGTTTAACATCCTGGACAGCTGGAGTCGCTTCTCCTTGTTGATGTAAACGTTGAAGAAAAACTCGCGTTCAAGTTCTCGGATTTGGTATTTGGAGTAAGGACAGCGCTTCTTCCTGGACTTGGTTGATGAACCTGTGGAAGAAAATATAAAAAACGAAAGATAACATAAAAAAACACTCGTGAGAGAACAGTAATGATATATAAAAGGACAAATCTGGTCGGAAAAAAAATAATAATTTAGAAATCTGGCTAAAAATAGTTAATTTATCCATGGCCTGTTTGTTAGAGGATGGCCCTGTCTCTTTGGCACAAACACCCTCCCCCGTCTCCCCGCACGCACGCACGCACACGCGCACACACACATGCACACACACCATGTACAAAGAGGAGTTATTTGCATAAAAATGAACACACTGCCCTGATGTATTTTTGAGGCTGTGCGTAAATTCAGTTCTCCTATAATTGCATCTGCAGCCCACTTTGGWTTTTTTTTACTTCCTTTAAAGCCTCATGAATACAAATCAGATCCAGCTACAGAGCAGTTCYAGAAAGAAAAGGAAACCTTTTAAGCACGGCTGCTTAACTGTKCCCCATTGTAAATATCTTTACAACCGTAAAGTCCATCTTATAGGGATATAAAAGCTTTTGCGTGCTTATAAAGACGCACATGACCCTAGATGGTCTTGGACTCTGTGCGGTCCAGATTCGCAGGTTATACAGAAACGGCACCTTTTTGGTTTGTTTTTCATAAAAAAGAAACAAGCTGACTTACTCTGTCGGCTGGTCCTGTCGCCGCAGTTGGAGGAGGATGAGTCCTCGTCGACGCTCCCGGTCGGTTCGGCGTTTTGTTTGTCCTCCAGTTTGGTTAAAGCCCGGCTGATGTCGGCTTCATCAGCCGGAGCAGCAGAGTCCGTCTTTTGTTTGGGGGGYTCCACGCTGACGGGCTTCTCCGCGTTCGGGGAGTCAAAGAACTGGTCGAAGCCCTGCGGAAGGACCCCGTTCCGGCCGACGCCGGCGAAGAAGCTGCACGGCGCGCTCGAACCTCCGGGGTGGCCGTACAAGGACTCGTTTTTGAACCTAACATCCGCCCTGCTGCTGCCGCCRCCGCCGCCGCTGCTGGAAGACTGGATCAGCTCCCGGTGCATAATCTCCTCCGTTGAATAGTACGACGCGTAATTGCCCCTGTAGTGCCATTTAGGATGGTCCAGTCCATAATCCCTGAAAGCGACTTCTCGCACAGGTTGAGCTATGCTGGGGGAATAAGGGAAATTGATCTGACACGAGGTGGTCTGCGGTAAAAAGGAGGAGACTGACGGGAAMTCGGGCGTCGAAACGTAATAAGTGCAGCTCGGCAGGAACATGTTTGACGCGCAGTGATCATCGTATTCGGTCATATCTCCGCTCGCCGTTCCCTTCGTGCAGCAGAGGAAGAACCGAGCTGACAGGCTGACCGTGTTAAACTTTGTCCATGTAGCACCGCGGGCGCGCGGAGGGAGCCCGGCAGGGAGAAAAAATCGGAAACGCAGGCAGACCTGCAATACATCTTGATCGATTCTTGAGGTAATTGTGTCATGTGATCCTGCCGAGAAATTACCATACATCAATATCAGTCATTAAAAACTCCCAAGGAAAAAAAAAAAAACTCATGTGAGCCCAAACAAGCGTCTCTATTGGCTCACAGGCTGCAGCGGAAACTCCTTTCCAACACCACCCCCTCTTTTTTTGCCTTAAAGCTGATAGAAATTTTTTTTTTAGCCATCGCTGGAATATTTACTTCACAGCTTTACAGCAACATCACTTTAATGATTACGGCAGCCACACCCACTGCACGCACTGCATCAGTAAACATGGAGGGGGGAGATATTGTTTGCATCAACAGTTAGAATTTTCAGCAAACCTGTTCGATTAATGCAAAAGCCTGAAAAACTGTCAAGGTCACCGCGCCTGCACATAAAGGCGGAATCATGTGTGATTTATCCAAGAGGGGCCCGCAAAGAAATTACAAGCATCATTGCGTATGATCACCGTGCAACGTGATGTTTGGACTCACATTTAAAACACACACAAATAAATGCCATCGATTCATTCTGATAATCATGTCCTGCACGGTGGTGCAGAAAAAAGCAGGAAAAAATAAAAAGGCTAAGGCGCAAAAAATATAAATAAAATAATAATAATAAATAAAGAAATAAAATAAAATAAAAATTTAAACTAAGTAAAGATTTGCGCCTTATACTGCGCAAAACAGCCAAATCTTCACTCAGTTAAGCATTYTGCAAAACGCACGAGGGTGCATTTAGAAAAGCAAAACTAAACCAACATTTACATGAAGGAAAGTCGTGTTTGAGTTCCATCKTCTGAGTAACAGATCCAGCTCTGCCAGGCAAACAACTGGCTTTGACCGTCTGTTGTTTTGATGTCCAACAAGTCTCCGCGGCCATGACATTTTATGGCACCAGGGCAGCCATGCGTGCAGTGTTTGCCTCCGCCTCGGTGGGAAAAATAAAAGTTGAAACGCACGAGGATGGGATATGTAAGTATGATTTTTCATGCTTCCCCCATCTTTTTTTCCACTCTCAAAAACAATAACAACAAAAAAAGATATTTTAAAGTCGTTTGGAGCCGTGATGCTAAACACTGATTATTGTAAAAAACAGCTTATTGTGCTTCTCCAGTGGTGCTTAGCACAGCTAAATGTGACCAAACTCTCGAGGTAAAAAAGCACACTTTATGATCCTATTTTTAATCTTACAACACTGCACAATACAAATCCTTCGGGCAAATAACTCCGACTAAACAAAGCGTGTGCTTGTGTTTCAAAATTAGGAGGAAAAACTGGGGCATTCTACTTTGATTCAGCGAGCATAAAATGGGATAAAGGAATTTTTGCGCATTAGGGAAACGTTTTACGCACGGAAAATTACAGGAATGTAATGTTAAAAACTAACTAAATTATACAATCTGACCATAAAGCGACGTGTTGCCTGTAATTTTAAACCTTTGTTAATCGTGTTTATTGTCTTTTAACTATTTGTTTGTAGTGGGGGACATTTAAAGGTTGACTTCCAACAATTATTCTAAACGCTGCTCTAATTTGCTGTTCAAGTTCGGTTTTGCACCAACATAATTTGCCACAACAATCGCTTTAGGCTTCAATTTAATATTTTAAATGTGCAAACTATATAATTCAATTTGAATGAATAATATGTTTACATTAATTGACTTCAATGGATTCAAAAATAAAACGTAGGCATCAAAGAAACCAAGTGTTTTACGCATAAAGGATTTTAATTTTAACGCCAAATTCTTAGCATTATCAAACGGTCTAAACTTGTTCGAGCAAAGGATCTTCTAGAATTAAAACTATTAATGTTTTCCCCACAAAGAGGAATGTTTGTCTTGAACCAGTCAGCAGCATACTAACTTGACCTTAACTTTGTTTTGGCACCCCCACCACGTTGGAGAACCTGAGCAACGTGACGCAGGCTGGCAGTCAACGAACCAGCAAATACAGAGTAACTTCACAGATGTACGTGTTCACATATAGCATTAGAAGCTATCAAAGATGGTAGGAAAAATAACTCTTTGTGTTACAAGGTTAAAATAAATTGTGGTTAAGGGGTAAATGTAACTAAAAAGTACGTGAACAGAAAAACAAAAGCCACATCAATTACAGATGAGTACTTACAAGATAAAACACAACAAAAACAAATAAAAAAACATTAAAGTCAAAGAAAACGAAAAAGAAAACCTGTCATAAATCAGAATTTTCTCTTTATTTTTGTTTGAAAAGCATTGCTTTGGTGCTTTATTGAAGCGTACAACCTTTTTTATATTGTAACGCAAAGACAACAGAAAATCAACGATTGACCAACTCCATGGCTTTATTACTCTGAGTTCATAATTGTTGTTTGCATACTTTATCTTATGCTTGTGACCACTGCCATGAAAAAAGTAGACTTAATTAATTAATTAATCAGTAGTTTTTTATTTTTATTTTTTTACTTAAAACTGTTCTAATGCGCAAACCTGTTTCTGGCTTTCATCAGTTGTGTGTGCGCATACACACACACACACACACAC